ACCACCTTCCTTCGTATCCCCTACCATTCCTAGTCAGCCCCAACTTTCTCTGTTCCATCCCGCATTTTACTATGCTACCCTCTTCCTCTAAACTCCAATGTAGCTTGGTAGCTTTTCCCCTTTCTCTCTTTTCCCTCTACCTTCATGTTTTAGCCAGATAAGCCATGTTGGATTCCCCTCATGCTAAGGGGCGCCTACAGCACAGGCCACGGCCAGCTGACACCAGGGGGCGCATACAGCTGTCCGCCTCCATGTATAAGCAACACGGGCAGCACACCAGGGGGCGCCTACAGCTGTCCGCCTCCATGTATAAGCAACACGGGCAGCACACCAGGAGGCGCCTACAGCACGGTCGACGTTACCAGGTGGATTCCGTGTACGAGCAGCGAGAGCGGCACACCAGGGGGCGCCTACAGCGCGGTCGACGTCACCAGGTGGATTCCGTGTACGAGCAGCGAGGGCGGCAGGCCTTCGGTGAGAATCTGAAGCTGCTGCAGGTAGAGCATGTGGTTGGCGCTGTCACCAGGTGGCAGCGGTAGATAGAGGAAGCAGACGGCCGAGCCGGCCATCTTGTCTGCAAGCAGCTGGTTGACAGCCTGCGGACAGTAGAAGACAACGATCAGGACGGGGTGCAGCCAACGACGAGAGACGACGTGATAACACACACGTGAAAACTTAACAAGTAGTCTTCCTTTGCAAAAAATAAAAAAACCAACGTCATAACACCGTGTGAAAACTTAACATGTACTTTTCTCTTGCAAAAAAGGAAAAGACCAACATGATAGCACCGCAAGAAAACTTAACACGTAAACTTCTCTTGCAAAAGGAGAAGAGATCGACAATGAAAGACCAACATGATAACACCGCGTGCAAACTTAACATGTACTCTTCATTTGTAAAAAGAGAAGAGATCGAGAACGAAAGACCAAGAATACAAATAAGTCTTCAAATATGTCTGTGACATGTGTGAAGAAGAGGCCTTGACGGCCTCTACGGGGCACCACTCTACTGTGCTACCCCATGTTGTTTAGACCACAAAGAGTCATGGTTAAGAAATGCTTAGTAAGTTAGCAATGAACTACACAATAACCTCTAATAAGTCTGTTATACCTGCAAGTAATTCTGCGGGAGGTCGAGCGGGGCGATGTTTGGTTCAGGCGACGTCGCGGCGCCACCTTCTGGCGCGCCATCACCGGCGGTGGGGGAAGTGTCGTTGGGCTCTCCCGACTCTGGAGACAAGAAACGATGTGTTATTGGTTTGTCGTAGCAGCACGAGATCGCGAGAGAGACTAAGTCTGTTCATCGGCTAGTGACACTGCAGAGACACTGCACTGCGACCTCAGTTCAATCAGAAATTTTACGACACTACGTCTTCTTCTTCTTCTTCTTCTTCTTCTTCACTACACTACACTCGAACTAGCCACTGCAGCACATAGGACCAAGCATGGGGGTTGAAAATCTCAAGGTCTCCACTGCATCGTCTGCAACTGCGGCAAGTTAGAGGGCACTTGCTGTTGATACCGCAGTGAAACTCGAGCCCTGACACTGTCACGTCAGCAGCGGCTCGCGACGCCCCACACCGCAAGTTATCATCAACACAGACAGAGCGAGTGAGGCTTCAATATGGCTTCACCTTCGGGCTTCAGGTAGCGCATGCAGTCGTCGATGGCGACGAGATCGATGGATGCGGTGATACGCAGCAGCTGCAGCAGCTGCTCGAGTCGGTACTGCATACGCATCGTGTCGTCCGACGCCGGGTCGATGCAGAGGAACACGCGCAGACGCGTGCGCCTCTTCCAGTTGTTCGTCAGTGACAGGATGCAGGCGAGCTGCAGCAGGAATAGACACGTCGTGTCGTAGTCACACCTGCAATGTTCAACAAGCAACGTGAGGTTAGTGGATGCCTTCTACTAATGCTTGATGTTCAACAAGCAACGCGAGGTTAGTGCATGCCTTCTACTAATGCTTGATGTTCAACAAGCAACGTGAGGTTAGTGCATGCCTTCTACTAATGCTTGATGTTCAACAAGCAACGTGAGGTTAGTGCATGCCTTCTACTAATGCTTGATTACGCGCTACTAGCGGAATGGCTTTTGGGCAAAGTTAGTGGATGCCTTCTACTAATATTTGACTACGGCTGCTACTCTGTTTTTATTAGCTGTCTGTTTTACAATACAAGTTATTATACTTTTTCATTTACTTCTTAGATATTGCGATCATGTTTTGATGATGCCTACGTAAATTATAGTGGTCTGTGATTTGCAGGCCGCAAATGGCTTTATTATTAAGTACCATTAACTACTGCATATTACCTGCTTCATTAGGAAAACATAAACCCTGTGGCTTGTGCAATGCTAAACGTAAGACCAACACTAGTGAAAGTAATATATATGTACTTTTGGAAATAAAGTTCATTATAAAAAACACTAGTGACCGTGTTAGATGGAGACAAATACGTGATTCTGAGATGGAAGATATTTGGAATCTCTCTATAGCTATTATCTATTGCATCACGTTATCAGCACAGTGACACGAACAACTCTGATTCCCCTGAGTGTCTGCATTTCAAGGCTTCTTCACACGCTATTTTTCACGTCTCAAAGTGTCTACGTGATTCAAAGATGGATGAAAGCTGAATTATCTCTGTAGTGCTACTGCCTTTACCGAGGATGGATCAAGGGACACTGTCGGAGTCGAAATCACACACGTGGCTATATTCCACATATAGATTATAGCACCAGAGCTTGCTTGTAAAGGAGGAGGAGGAGGAGCAATGAGGAGGAGGGTACTGCTTACTGCTTTTGTCATTTCGCGCTCCATCACTTCTATTTATTTAGTTTCATTTGTTTTGTTTTTTAGTTAATTTTATTAGCACTACCTATTAACTTGGAGGGAGTTCACAAATGACCTATGTCGCCCATGAGACTGAAGGATTACAGAGAGAGAGAGATTAACTTGCTTAACTAATATGTTACCTCCAAAATCCAATTCAATTTAATTTAATTGAATCGAATTGCTTACCTTTTCTGCGGCTCGAGGAAGTTGATCGGCCACGCGTCGATGTTGTATACCTCTGAAGAGCGGTTGATGGCGTCCTTGTTGAGAAGGTGGAAGTTGCGAGCGAGACAGAGGCTCTTGCCCATGCGGATACAGTCCTGCATGAGCAGCACGTACTCAGCCGGGTTCACCTGCCGGTCGGTGACGTGCCGAGACAGGAAGCGCTTCTGGATCTGCGCAAACAGTATGAGACGCGGTGAGGCGGTGAGAGCG